GATGAACTTTTGAAACCAGCCGTTAATGATTATCAGGATGCCTTAAAAGATGATAAAAAATATGTTAGCCCAATTGGTCGTGACTATTCAAAGTTTATGATAGATAGTAAAGGAATATTGCAACCGAGTGGCTCTCCGGATATTGATCTTATGAATTCTTGTACTCGTAAGCCCCTAGCCCTGTCCACGATAGCCAGTAAACACAGCATCAACTTTGTTCGTAATGAATTAGGTTTTGTAGATTACTCATGAAAAAAACCTTTATGTGAAGACTACAAAGGTTCTTCGGACTGTGCGTACTGAACTCAGTAACATAGATAATTTGGAAGAAAGCTCGAAGCTGGCCTCGGACGGACTCAGAGAAATCTTGGATACCTTCTACGATAATTCCATGTTACAGGTACCATCATCGGAGTTCAGTATTAGGGAATTACGAGGTTTTGACAACGCAATGCAAACAATGCGGGGAGAACTCATCAATAATATAGCCAAGCTATCCGAACTCGACAAAGCATATATCTTATGAGAAAACAAAACTTGAACAGGCGGTGATGAATTCAGTAGGCGCCGCGTTGCTAAAAATGATTGCATAACTTAGAAGACGAAAGATCGGCCTGCCTCGAAGCTGCTTCGAGTAATAGAAAGGCACTTCGTTCACAAATCAGTCGAATTCGAGAAACTATCGATCAAGTCCTCAAAGATGACACTACACTGACCGATAAAATTAAAACATTGTTCAGAGAACAGGGGATAACCATTGCCAGTATTTTAACCACATTGGGATTTATTATATCGACTTTGACTCTCGCATTAACCGGTGGTACAGGTGGTACAGGTGGTGGCACACCACCTAGTGATAAAAATGATGTAAAAGACTGGATAAAAAAGCATTTAAAAGCATTAGGGGAAGCACTGGGAAAGCTCGCTGGGAAAGCCGCGTCTGCACTTCCCGGTATAATAGGGAGTATAGTTTCCTGGCTCTTGAATTTATTAGCTAAGACATCCACTTGGCTTAGTCAAAAGTTGTGGGCACTGATCGTGGCAATTGCAGGGCTGTTGTATGTATCCGCTAAAGACTATTTATCCAAATCAGTTCATTAAGAACTATTTATCCAAATCATGAGTAAACGAGCCGCGACTCCATCTACTATAAGCGCTGTTTTTTCATCGATATGTTGTTGATTTTTAGCTGCAATATGTGGTGGCACTTGTGGTTGTGCGTCAGTAGATGGTTGTGAAACATGTGGTGACTGTGGCTTGACTATTCCCGTTTCGCCTATGTTTGTTTGCGTTATTAAATCGGTGTTAATATCTGAATTTATACCTGGTTTTTGTTGATCGGTAGCAATAACAATTTTATTATTATAACCGATCACTTGACCGATCTTAAGTTCCATATTACTCAGAGACATGTATAGTCCCAGCACATAAACGTAGTCTACTTTGGATTGAGTGTACTGTAATACATCTTGATAACGTTTTATAGAAGATGGTATGTCAACTGGTGAATTAATAGCATCCTCCACATTTGCGACAAACTGTTTTTGTGCATCGAGCGCCGTCCCAGAACCGATTATTCCCGTTCGTGTTTGCGATTGTTCATCAAGAATTGCCCATACATAAGTTCTTATTCATTCATTAACTCTTTCAACTCCTGGGTTAGTAAAATTATTTTCTGTTTCATCATGTAGAAATTCATTCCGAGCATTTCAAGGTGGTTGCTGAACCTTTTGGATGGTGAAAGCAACACCACCCTTAAAGTTCATACGATCCACTCGTTACTTGAGAGAGCAAAGCTCGGAAGAAGCCGACCTCTTTTCAGTAAATCATCGCTGACTTCTTTAACAGAGTGTGCACCAGCGACGGAATACCGAGACCATGGTTAACTCCACTCAGACGCCAATCTTTACTCGTAGAAACATTAAATTCCTGACAAATACGTTCGAATGCCCACCTATTGTACGGATTATTTGAATTCCATGCTCGATCCTGCGGTAATGGAGCACTAATTTCTTAAGTATACGTCTGATCTGATAATACACATGAAATGATAAAACAGACTTATTTAGTTCAAATCCTGGGGCATAAAGAGATACACCACATCCTGTTGTGGCACACCACATGGCAAAGTTTAACTGGTTCTGCCAAAATTGCATCGGATTGTGAAACCAATTGTGCACCATTTTATCGCTAGTTGCCCTGACCCTGTATTTTTCAAATATATCAGGGAATTCAACAAAGAAATTAGCACCAGAGGCACTTGCTAAAATCAACTGATTAGTAATGTAAGTCGATTTCATATTCAGGTTATGATATAGTATCATTGTATATTTAATATGTATGTCACACTCCCGGGAGTAACAAATGGTCAGTCTATTCAACCGCTTCATACCATCGATAACTCAGCTGGTCAACTTGAAGTCACTCTATGCTATGTAACGTATTACCCGCAGTGGACCAATATAAATACTTTGAGATATAATAATGAGTTAGTACTAATTAACTTAGATGATGGGGATAACACTCGCATTGTTATATCTGATGGGTATTACAGCATATGCTCACTCAATCATGAAATTCTTAAGCCTTTGGGAGCTAGTCTCACACAAAATGAGTCGAATTGGATGCTGATTTTAAGCGCTGGAGAAAAGCAAATATTTCTTGTAAAGAACTTAGCAGAAACACTTGGATTTGTAAGCCACGTGGGAGGAATAATAATAGATCCCAACACACCACCGCATGGAGATAAATTGCCCGATTTAGTTCCCTATAAAGTGTTGTGGACCCATCTTGATCAGATAAACACGACGGATAATATTCAACTAGAAAGTCCTTCTACTCTGTTGAGAGCTATTCCAGTCAAAGATGAAAAATACAATAGCGGTAGAACGGAATCTTTCTCAACATTACAATATAAAAAATTAAAGCGTGGTATTATTTCAGATCTCAAAATTTCTGTATTAGATTTAAAACATCAACCTGTACATGTAGGATACTTGAGTGTAACACTCCATATTATAAATAATGGTTGATTCATCAGGGCCTGGAACACTCAGACAATGTAATACAATTGCGCTTTCCAATCTCGGAGACACAGAAGGATTCGGTAAACCCGGTACTGATGGCAAGTTATACGCTTTACACTTACAAGATAATGTATACAAGCGGAAAGAAGTTACAATTGTTTCTTTCCAATTACCAAGAAGAGTATATAGTCTGGTCTCCTAGAAAAATGAACGAAGAACTTTGTAAATATGTTGAATATCACTTTGTTAAAAATAATGGTATACGTATGAATAAAAATAATAGAGAATATTTTCATTACAATTTAGTTTAGTCTCATCATCGTTTTTGTACTAAAAATTCCCTCTATGGTATCAATGATTGGCTCCAGGTAGTGGTGAGCTAGAGCCAATTTAACTTAGTCTCATGACAATCGTTGAATCGCATCATCATTTTGACATAAAAAATTCCCCCTGTAGTGGTGGTATAGGTATATAAATCTGGCTCCAGTGGAAGTGATCCAGAATCGCCATTACCTATACTACTTATGATAATATCCATACAATCTAGGCCATCTATAAACGATTCCAGGATGTTCTTCTTGTCAGTTTTAATTTGTATAATCGAGAATACCTCAAAATATGTTTCGAAGCGTAGTCGCCAGTTGTAAAGCTCGAGAAAGCTGCCTTCTGATTGGCTAATGTCGATTTCTTGTCAGTCATTTCATTGGTCGATCAAAATTCGCGAAAGGTCGTTCTGACGTGACCCGTAATTGGATGTCCTCGGATCTTTGTTTAGCGGTAGCAAAAACTAAGATCTGATTTTAATGAGATTGTGGACATTTAAGATATAACAAACTCAGTTGCCTTCTTTGGCAATGGTCAAAAACAAATCTGCTTCGGTAAATTAAAACTTTATTTCATCACAATAGTTTGTATAAGATATTATCGATGACACAAGCGTCATATCAATAATCATTGATATTTCTTCCCATGGACGATAATTCCAATAATGGATCTTTTTAGCCAGCTATAGATGTATTTAACCTGAAACTACACATATTTTGGTGATTATATTGTGTATATAATAAAAAATATTTTGTCTCTTCAGTGTCAAGATTTTCAATTTAAAGCACTGGTTATTACAGATCTACTTTGTAACACATCTCCATTAAAACACAAAGTTTGTCTTAAATTTTAAAACTATTATGTCATACTTTAATTCTAATAGCTCAGGGCAAAACTAAACTTTATTACACTTCACATTGGGGAAGAGCAAACTATATCCTAATTCGGGACCGCCTCCATGGTCTAGTGGTAGAGTGTCTGCCCAGAGAGCGGAAGGTCCGAGGTTCGATCCCCGGCCTCGTCATACCAAAAGACGTTACAAGATGGTATTTGTTGTTACCCTGTCTCAGAATTAAGGGGCTAAAACAAGGACTGGTTGGCTCGGAGTCAGTATACTGTGTCTGAGTGGGGAATTCATGTTACACTGCAGCATGGTATCTCAGTGTGCTAGCGCTATAAATCGGCATCAGCCCGACTAGTACAAGCAGCCACACACACACACACACACACACATCGCTATATAAGTGCATTAATCTTAGACCCGATTTTAAACCCCATTTCACCTCACCTCCTAATTCAGATGTCACCATTTGTTAGAATTAACAAGCATGCTGAATTTCAGCTTGATCAGAAAAAAGTGGTTTACATGTACACAACTGCCACTAGATAAACAAGCAAGCTCCCATAAGCTTGTTGGATTTTTAGTCAGGTGAGTTAAATATCTGTAAACTGTGTGATAAACAAAAATGTCTTACATCCTCACCACCCACAGCTACCTTCATCTTCAGGCATAGGTCAAACAAAACAATCTAATCTATGAAGTTTGTATCAGTCTGACATTGCTGACTAGAGTTAGAATAGTAAGTTTGATATTATATAAGGCTATTTCAAAATGTTATCTTACAGTGAGAAAAAAACATAAAAATAGAATCTAGGACATTTGTTTATTTACAGTTCTTGTTCAATACTGTTTTCTTAAAAAGTAAGTTTGGCTAATCATGTGCAATAGTGTATATCAGGTCATCCCATACAAAATAAATAATATAGACAGACCAGGTAACCTTTGTTACACATATTATATGTGTGACAGCAAGCACCTACACAGGTGAGCAAAAAAGGCTTGATAAGTCAAGCAATACTTTGATGTACAAAAATAATATCACACTAAATTGTGCATCATTATAATCAATATCACAGAGGATATAAAATACATTGATCTAAATAGTTGTGCAGAAGTTGTCAGACAACCAGTCAGCTACAGGACAGTCAGATCTGTTCAAATAATCATGTCAATACTCTACGTACATAAAATAATGAATGGCTCATAACAAACTGTAAATAGAACCTGATCACACAAGATCACCACAGAATCTTTGAGTTTTAAGAGAAATATATTGCAAACTAAATACAAACAGCAACTCAGCAAGACTTTTCAGTTTGAGCAAACAGGAGAATTCCTATTAAATTAGTTTTAAAATAACAACCTCCAACACAATCATACTAGCTACTACAGTTACATAACATGACAAATTAATTTCACATTGCTCTATGGTATTTACCAGAACAAATGATATAGCAAAACTGACATCGCTTGTAATTTGAAATTGTGAGAAATACAAAGCGAACACCCTCAATGTTATAATTAATTAAGCAAAATTTTCATCTTTGTTGCCAACCCAAAATACAAAAAACAACTTTCAATGACCTGCAGCCCAGACAATGGTTTCCTTAACACAAGCAAAGTGCATAAATATGTCCAACTATGTTCATGTGATAATTCACTCTCAAACTTTAATACCATGACATATTCAATTTAAAACAAGTACATTTCCTGCACAGAAAGAATGAAAATCTGTGATCAAGACAGTTGAAACACATTTGTGCAATTATATAAATCAGTATATTCAGTACTTCGTGTACACACAGCTTCTTATAACATAATGAAGGACCCACATCAAATATTAACATGATTACAAACACCATTTCACAATAACTTTGATAAAAGTTGATTCATTGTGAAGTTCACAATAAAGGGTTGTTGAAACATTCAGAATCTTGTCTTGGGTTACATTTATCAATTAGTGTCCATGAAACAAATCCAATCACATTTGTAGAATCTGATTCAAAAGATATCTCTTCTCACTGAGCAAAATATGATCACCTGAGTGGGTGAATAAACACATAAGATGATCGACCGCACACAAAGATAAAGTGTATTCAAATCTAGATGTCTAAGCCTTCAGTGAAGTATCTTTGGAAATTCCATTCCTTGTGTAAAATGTGTCGGCAACAATTCTTGTGCGACCATGGGCTGGTTTTTTAATTGCATCTTTCTTTATCACATCTCCAAGTCTCCATCCGTATTCCCATGAGCTGAGAAGAGGATAATCGTACTTTTGTTCAGGAATCTTCTTATACCTCTTCTCCAAGTACTGGTACCGACCCCTTCCTTCTTTTGTAAACCCATCATACAAGCCTGATTTTGTTTTGGGTGTTACCGGTCTCATTTCTGATCCAGGGTTCAAGGAAGTGGTTGCACGTTCTGCCATCATGTCAACTAGATTAGCTTTCTTCTTATTATATCGAGTCTCACCTACAATTGTTGGCAGCCTCTGTAATAACGCTTCGGATGGTTTAGACCCTTCTTCGATTTTTCGTCTGAAAACATCGAACTGTTTGGGCTTCTTCGATTCCGACTTATCACTCTTGAAAAACCATTTCAGACGTGCATCTCTTTCCTTGTTATATGACTCAGTTAGAAAGTTCTGGTGCTGAGTTGAAAAATTAGGATTTCTGCAAGCCATCTTTGATACTTTGGCCAACCTATTACTGATGTGTACTGCCGATGAGCTTACTAATAGTTATAGTTTTCGATCCCTCGTTACCTTTAGCGTCGTATGTTGCCCTGGTAGCACTACGTCACAATCTCGCGAGAACACATTCATCTCCCGTTTGAAACAAAATGGCGCCTGAATGGCCAGAGGAAGTTGATGTCTTCACGGTTCCCCACTCACGCATGAAAGAACTGGTCCACAAGTATTTAGATCTGGTAGCGTTTAAGTCCAACCTTTCTTACATTCACACCATCACTGTTGTCACTTGACACTATAGGCCCAATCACACGTGGAATAGTCACGTCTCGCTAAGCTTTGACAGTCGTTCGGTTTTCAGTCGCCCAGTCCCTTCTGGCTATAATGGTGAATACGTTCTAGCAAGGTTGTTACGGGGCTGTGTTTATACACTGTGTGGTACATTCCTACGCTAATCTACTATGGGCTGGAAGCTTAGATCCGTGAGAGTTAATGGTCAAGAAGATTGGCCCCATATTGTATGTAATATAGATTAGGGCCTATATTAGCAATGCTCAGTCAAATTTAGAATTTTGCATATTGTGTTTACAAATCACTGATTTAGCTTCAGAAATCCTTCAGAAATACATATCATAGGATGGTATTTCTCCCACTTGTCCGATTAACTTTCAGAAAAGCTCTTTTTGACATCACCGTGGAGAGCCAGAAATTTCATTTTGGTCTAAAAAATGGCAACAAATGAAAATGGGTAACATTTTAAGAAAATGTTTATTTGAATTAAACCATATTATTTTAGTGGCATAACAGCAGTAATCCAGGGCCAAATTTGGTGCATATTCATCTAAACTGAATTTTGGGATGTGGCGAAAATGTCCATGTTGGGGGGTAAGTTAATAACTTATGACACATCTGAGCTTCCAGGCACCATTTCTAGTACAGCATCAACTGTGCCTGTCAGTATGGGCTTGAAATGTCTTACCTACAACAAAAAAATATGAAAAGAAACATAAGGAGTCCGTATTAAACTTTCTTCACAGTACTCCAAGTCATTTTTCATGCTTTTCTCCTTTTGTGCTGCCTCTTCCAATGCGCAAATACAATCTTCCAAAGGTTCAGTTGCCATTTCGATATATTCCTTTGAAGATTTCAGCTCTTGTAGGTTGTATTCAAATTCCTTCCCAATTTTCTTGACTTATGAAGCATTTTTGGCCAGGCTGGTTTTAGTTTGAGCATGGGCACTCTTTTCTCTCCTGTTAAGGCTGAAATATTTTCCTCTCATATTTGGCTTAAGGTTTTCCAATTTCTGTCTCTTTACAGCAAATTCATCAGTGGCTCTTTTTAATTTTCTTTTTAAATTGTAATTTTCCCTTTCTAGAGATATCACTTGCTTACTTCATCCTTCAGGCTATTAACTTCAAGTCCAAGCCCTTGCAATGTCATAATCTGACCTCGTTCGCTCAGGAGTTTGTACTGGCACAATGAAATGCTCAGCTCTATATTTTTCCTTAACTTGTCCTTTTTTTCTTTTTATCTTCTTGCTGTATTCGGTGAAACTTATTCATTAAGGCATTAAAATTAAGCTGCTGAAGGGAAACATTAAAAACCTGTCCAACCCACGCAGCAAACATTTGACGGTTTCCGGGGGCAAATTTGTGAATTTCAAATACTAACCCATTTGTTTGAAATTTAGTCGGAGCTACACTCACATCAAGCTGTGCTTTCATGCTGTCAATAAGTTGCAACTGTTCAAGTAATGGGAACATTTTCAAACTTTACTGCTTATTTTCCAAACTTTTTCTTTGCTTTTTCAATGCTATGTTTCTGGATCTTGATCTCAGCAATGAAAAGGAACCAGACCCACTACTATTACTACTAATATTGCTGAATTGAACAAGTGATGCAATGTTTCTCTTGAAGAAATTTTTCACTCACTAAGTTCACACTCAAAATGATCATGAAGCCACTGTGCAACCTTGTTATTTTCTGACAAACATTGAGCATAAATTGATGTTACAGATTCACAATCTCTCAATTTTCTGTAAGTATCAAGAAGATTATTCCAATCATCCAATTTGCCCCACCCCATCCCCCATGATTCACATTGGTGTTCAATGTTTCATACAAGTTCACTGTACTTTACATTAATTAAAGCATATATTTAGTTACTTTTTGTAACACATATACATGACATCATAATTGTTCCTCCTACCTACGTTAAAACTACGATCTTTATTGATAATAAACATGTTTCAGTCACAAACACATGACATTGACAATGTGAAATGGTTCAGCCTGACAGTTATTTTAGTATTTTTAAAACTTAAAACTGTCAACACAAAAAATATCCAAATGTCATAAATATATTCTCCAATATAACATTCTTATATTTACTGCCTCAAATTACGAGGATTGTTAAAAACTAATACTGAAGTGTTTGTGAAACATGTCCGAAGGGAAGTAACTGCGTAGTAATGTAAAAACTGCATACCGCTAATAGAAGTAGGGTGAGGTCCGATTTAATTATTTTTTTTATATATTGTCCCTAATAAATTACATCTACAACACACTGAAAATTATAACAAATGATTGCAGAAGAGAATAAACCTATTTACAATCGCGTATTCGGCTGTTTTGATAGTTTTAAGAATAACTGTTGACTTCATCAAAGTAACTCAACTTCGAAGAAAATTCTAAAAATAGCAGCTTATGAAATACGCATGCCACCTTTACCCTAGTTTGTGATGTACGCTGATTTTCCCGCTTTCTGCATTAATCAATGAGTGTAGAGATGGGATTTTGAACCGACCCTCTGAGGTGTGGTAAACCAGCTTTGAGAATAATTGCAGGAAGAGTTACCTCCTCTTGCCATGAGCATTGCTACCTATATGTACTATCATATAAAATATATCTATTAGCTATAGTTATAGCTAAACGCAACGAAACCTTGCCTCGCAATAATTGCCAGCGAAAACGTCACTTTGGTACACATACCTTATACCGGACACTTTTCTGCCATGTTTGTTTGATGCTGCTAATTAATCAGCATGCAACAGCATCACTATTTGAAAACCGTGGGGTGGGGACCAGGGCCTACCTTTAGAATACAGTACCACAAACTTTTCAAACACGTGACAATACCCTATGACGTAATTTTTGGTATTTTGTTGCTAGTCACACCCGCTAAACAATGCCCTGTGACGTCAGGGGTCATCGAGTGTGCATAAGCTCCTCCCAGTGATCTATCATCTTTTTACGCATTGTCATTGAATACGCACAGCGGTTGTTGAGAGTTTTGAATATTTATTTATTAAATATAGCCTGAGGCGGCACATTTTAGAGCAAGTGCTAGTTTACCAAAGCACTTTTATTTTTTATATATTTTATATTTTGTTTTTCTCAGAATTCAGGTGGCTAACATGGTTATATATGGGAACTAATATGCATATATTATTTTTTCAAGTAATTATTTTTCATTATTATGCACAAGGATGTAGTTTATTAGTGGGATATTATATTGGCGCTGCACACATACAAATGTCACCAGTGTAGGTTAGGTAGGTTAACCCGAACTCTATCCTTAGCCCTTTAAATCAATCAAACCCTTTATGATTGTTAGGGTTAGGTACCCGTTTAGTGGCTATTAGGCTATAGATTCTATAGTGGCTCCTAATATTCTTCACACAAAAACGTCAAGTAAAAAGGATGAAATGGTTTTATGTCAAGTATTTTGGCTACTGGAAACTGTCCTTGAACATTCACACAAGCCACTTTCACCGGCTATATTTTTTCAGTACTGATTCAAAAGCAAACGCACCGTTGTGTCATAACTAGCCATGCTCATGCCTCCCTCGTTCCTTACAATTATCCACATCATCCTTACAGTATTCCCTACAACACTTTTCTGTAACAAAAATCACCCGAAGAATTATTTAATACCATATATCATTCATGCGTACTCGCAAGTTCGACCATTCCTCACCACTCGGTACCTTGTAGATTACGGAATGGGACGAGTGTGCCAAATGGCATCGGGATCATTTGTAAGTGTCCGTAGACTAAAGTCACGAGGCGCCATGCCTACCCGTAACCTTCGTAAGTGTCCGTCACCTATTTAACCCTTTTTGTTCAGTTCCATAATGTCATAGGCATGACGCGGTAAATTTGCACTGAATGTTACAGTGTGGACGTAGCTCAGTCAGTTATCTGTCGGTCTAGCAGTCCGAAGGTTGCGAGTTCGCATCCGACGGATTCTCACAAAAACTGGTTGCTTGTCTTTGAGTCATGTGACCTACGGTAGAGATCGTCCTCACGAGAAGTTGTAGTACTGTATTCTAAAGATTCTCTGGGAAGATTATTGGGGGCAAGCCCCCGAAACACCCTTGTTATTTTAGTGAGGCCCCCAAAATGGCGGAAGGGGACGGTATAATACTGCATTCTTGTCGGCACCTTGTAATTATTTTTTTCACCTTGGTTTTCAAAACCAAGTAGTAAAAGAAATTATACTCACATGTTCACTAAAACACAAATACTGGTGAAATGTTAATCATAAAGGGACAGTATATTAATGGTTGTCTTGTGGAATAATCCGAGCAAAGCTGAGTAAGCTCGGAGGTTAACGGCTATTGTTTACAAACAAAGCTTCAGAACGGTTGATGTCCTGTCCCTTTAAAGCATGTTTAGATAAGAAATTAACCTCTACTCCAATTTACTTGCCACTTCTAATTGGGAGGCACAACTAAACCTATTGTGGAAACATTACATGCTTTAACTGTTGGACTGTTTGACTAGCATTTTCTCATACTTTGAAATTTCTTCCATTGTGCAAGATGCATAAGTCCTGTTATAGACTTTGACATTAGTTTACAATCTTAAGATACAGAAGAAAAATGAACAGATGAAGCAGAAAATAGTAAAAGTAAAATATCTTTATATAAATCTGTATTTTTTTAAATATATTTTTTGGGACAGTGTTGTAAAATGCCATGGAATATAACAATCTGAGAAAATGATAGATGACAATGACATTTGTGGATGATATATGACAATGATAAATATAGAAATAAAGAATAAATGAATTTCACCAAAGAAAAAAGCATATACTATGACATCAAACATTCTTATTATTAAAAATATGAGGTGCACTTGTCATATGACTATTGATAGCTTTTTTTACAAAAGAGATGCTGTTTTCGCCAGAGGAAATCAGAGACGTTTTGCGGAGGTGCCATTATAGCCTGCA